ACTTGCAACTTACGCAAATTTTCATTTTGCTTGAAAATAAGCTGTTGAGAGGAAAAGTAGAAAAATACATATTTCAATTCATTCTCTAGAACTAGAATCGTTTCAAGATTCCGTCTCGGGCACACCACACAAACCCATGAATACATCTTAAAAAAACAAATATCCACCAAATTGCATCACCTGTAACACAAACCAAACATTAGACCACATCCTCAACAATTGCCAAAACACTACAACACAAAAAAGCAATATTTAACACAGAGAATATAAACGACGTCCTAGCTACCCACAGCTTAGCTAATATTGAAAAAATTGCCAAATTTATGAAAGATATAACGATAAAGATAAGATCTAAATAATAATAATACATACATATGTATATCGACAATTGTCGGAAAAAGAACTATACGAATTTTATCGCTACAATATACATAGTTACTCAATAAACTTGTCGCAAACGCAAGCGATGATTGTCGCAAACAGCGACAACATTTGTCGGACGGTAGAAAATTTAGAGAACAGCACCACAGGTGTCGACTTTGTTTACATTGCTCAATAAAATATTGATTTCAGTTGTATAACAAGTTAAACAAAAAGCTAGATTTTTAAAATAAATAATGCAGACAGTTACAAGCAAACTTTATAGTTATTTTTATTATTCACTTCGCATATCAAGTTTGACTTCTATTTATTTACTTTCTCTTAGCTTGGTTCTTTTCCTTTTTTGTGTTTATTTACATTGTCTATAGAGTTTAAGTTGATTGTTGATCTCCACAGGTGGTAAAAAATTGGATATATTTGAGCAACGTAATATTTACCGTTTAAAGTACAAAACCGCGTATCGTCGTTCTGCAAAACCGCGTAACTGACATTTGCTGCCAAAAATTGGATTTGCTCACACAAGCTCTTGGCTCAAGTCTTATCCATTCGTCATGAAATATACTAGCTAGCAATGCGATTGCTTTATAAAAAAGATAACCATTTTAAAATATGAGTGTTTTAACTCTCTAGAAAATTATTTATGCAACCTCACATACTGGGTTTTGCATTATCTTGATAGCTGTTTTGTACTATAAACGACGATATGTAGCTTTAATAATGGCGAGAAATGGGAGACTAATGGTGACTTCGTTTCTTTCAAATGTTGTCTTTCCCCGGTGCACAATGTGTTTGGCATTACACTCAACCCGGTAAAAGGGCATGTTTTTGCCTTCTTGTCCTTGTCTAGCTCACGTCTGACAAAGCTTCGAAGGGCAGAGAATGTGCCTTTTTTGCCTTACAAGAGTGTGACATCTTAAGAAACGAACACGAAATTTTCTCACCCTCTGCCTTCAGTTTAGAATCGAACACGAAAAGAGAAAGGGGCAATCAAAAGGCGACCTTTTTTGCTAGAAATGAAATCACCATAAGATATGAATGTGATAAAATACACATACAACACAACCATATTTTGGTAAGAATTTGAATGCAACGGATTATGTGGGAGTTGTTGGAGTTCAATGAATGTTGATTGCAGTTTTAATGGTTGATTGTAGTTTCAGTTGTTGATTGTAGTTTTAATTGCTGATTGTAGGTTTATTTGTTGATTGTAGTTTTAATTGCTGATTGTAGGTTTGTTTGTTGATTGTAGGTTTATTTGTTGATTGTAGGTTTATTTGTTGATTGTAGTTTTATTTGTTGATTGTAGTTTTAGTTGTTGATTGTAGTTTTAGTTGTTGATTGTAGTTTTAGTTGTTGATTGTAGTTTTAGTTGTGGATTGCAGTTTTAGTTGTTGATTGTAGTTTTAGTTGTAGATTGTTGTTTTAATTGTTGATTGCTGTTGTAGCGACTACTCAACCTTGCCTAGAACGGCTTGTCCCTCAATCGTTGTCGTCAAACTCAACTAACGGGAGACCCAGTAAGTGTTAGTCAATAAGGGCTGGGGTGTTATTTGAGTCCGGTTTTGGGGCATGTGAAGAGATTTCTCCAGTTGTGACGGGACTCTCCATATGCCGGACACTGGTTGGGCACATCTGCATCAAACCTGCCCAGGTAAGAATTTAGAAGTTGTTGATTGTTGTTTTAGTTGCTGATGGTGTGGTAACGCCTTTAATCGTTAGGTGATTGAAGCTTTGGGTGGCATTTCTTTTCTTCCGAGCACTGTAAAATAAGTTAAGTTATTCAATTCTTTAAGAAATATAATATACTAATGGCCCATATTTTAATTCCTACATCGGTTCTGATCTAAATAAGTTAATCCAACGAAACAATTTTAAATATTGGTAAGTCACATTAACATGGTGAACCCCAATACAAATCGTCCATTATAATAAATTCATAACATAAATTAAGTATAAAACCCTGATACATCACTGCTTTTACAGGGCAATTCTGACTAAGATAGAAAAAATTCTTTCGTAAGACAAATTAAAAACAGAAGACAAGATATGTGGTTCGAGAGATTTTTGTTATTCAAGCACAGGTCTTAGAAAAAAGCCTCTCCCGATTCGTGGTGAAAAGTTATTTTGAGAGAAAGCACTTGTATATAATTTAGCTCGCGGCGCTCCAGCAGTCGCAATGGCCGAGTGAGCAGAGCACTGGCGTGTAATTCGAGAGATCCGAGTTCGAATCCTGAAACAGTAGCGTTGTTTTTCTTTTTGGATTTTTTTTTAATTTCTTTTAGTTTTTGTATTGCATTTTTTATAAGAAAAATATATATTTTAATGTCATTTAATTTTTAGGAACTTATTTATTTTTTCCTTTTTTAATTTAATTTATTTTCCTTTTGTTAATCTAATTTTCTTTTAATATTTAGATTTTATTATTTTAAAAACAAAAATACTTTTTTTTTATTTTTTCATTAAGAAAAAATATTTTTTCTAATTTCATTTAATTAAAAAAAATATTTTTATTTCCCTGCAAAAATTGCGACTACTCCATGCATGCGTGTAAAGAGTAATCCCTAAGGACAAAGGAGTACTCCAAAATTAATCACAATTCATATAAAAAATATGGTCCAATTAACATTGCGATGTCCTAGGGCAGGACCATATACTCCATCCCTGCATTACATCAGAGTAGCACAAAACTACTCCAACATATTAACAATGGCATTGTTGTTGTATTTTTTCGTTTGTACACGCTTTTGTTCTTCACTTCTCAAATGCTTTTTCGAAATTAATAAAAACCAAGACAAAAATTAAAAATTACATGTTGCCTCTGACGGCATTCAAACCCGAACATGCTGGGAGCTAAGAACTAACAGCGAGCATCTCTACACGTTCAGCTACAGCCAAACATGCAAATGTGCTTTCAAATGCTCAACTTCAATCACATTTCGTTAAAACACGAGCAGTGATCGGATAACAAACAATAAGCTGGCGCAGAGACACGAGTTGGTCCGCTACAGCATGACAAAGGAGCACTTTTGTAAGTACTCCAATATACCACAAATAGACTACATGGTCCAACGATTTTTGCAGGGTTATTTCTGCCTTATTTTTATTTTAATATTTTTTCTCTTTCTAAATTTAATTTACTATTTTATTAGTTTTTATTGTTTTAAAAAGAAATATGTATGTGTACTTTTTTAATTAAATTAAATTTTTAAAAAACTTATTGCTGAAAGGCGGACAGCAAATCGCTAAGATCTCGTTAGCAGATCTTTCAATTTGTCTTTCGAAAGACAGCAAAGAGCTTTCAAGATAGTTGCCAGAAGCCGGATTTCAACTTTCGCTATCGCTAAAATGCAAAAGCTAAAATTGTATCCAAATTTTTCCAAAAATTACGATTCTCTGTCGCTAAAAATTGCCTAGCCAGGATTTTAGTACTTTGTCCGGCCGCAAGTAGCGCCGTTCAGCAACAGCAACTGTCAAAATTTGTTTGTATTTCAATGGTGATAAATAATAGAAATATAATACTATATACTTCTTTTTTAATATTGCCTGGTTATATAATGGCAATAACATGATCATCAAAAAAGAAAATAAAGCTAAAAATGCCAACGTCTTGCGCTTATTTGTAGTGCTGCCAGGACTTCAAAAATAAAAAAGCTAGATCGGCCAAAAACAAAACCAACCTTTTCAA